CACGGCCTCGGTCTGAACAGTAACCTTTGGGCGGAGTTTACTAGTCGGTTTAAGATTCAGAAGGTTTCGGAGTTTTATGGCTCTTCAGAGGGAAACATTAACCTTTGTGAGTATTAAGAGTTTTACTAGAAAAAAAGTTGCAATTTAACCCTTTTGATCCATTCTAGTCAACATCATGGGCAAAGAAGGCTCCTGCGGCTTCATTCCCTACTACTTTGGCCCCTTTTGTCGTATCCTTTTTCCCATTTACCTGATCAAGGTGGACCCAAACACACTGGAGCCGATTCGCGGAAGCAACGGCCTCTGCAAACTCGCCTACCCCGGTGATGTTGGCCTCATCGTGGGCACCATCAAGGACCACCTTCCGTACACCAAGTTCCTCGGCTACACCTCAGAGAAAGAAACGTCGAAAAAGATTTTGAAGAACATTCTGCGCAAGGGAGACTACGCCTTCATCAGCGGCGATTTGATGGAGATGGACCTCTATGGTAATCTCTACTTTAAAGATCGAACGGGCGACACTTTTAGGTGGAAAGGTAAGTGTTTTGGTTTCTGTTTGTTTAATTTTTTAAACATCTTTTAAATCTTTAGGTGAAAACGTCTCCACCACTGAAGTAGAGTCAATTGCGGCGCAGTTTTTGGAGCACCAAGTCTGTACAGTGTACGGCGTCTCCATTCCGTACACTGACGGTCGTGCAGGAATGATTGCCATCAAGATGGCCAATGATGCTTCAATGTCACCATCATCACCACGACCGCCTGTTGACCTGGACGAGTTTCACCTCTACATGAAGGCGAGAGTGCCCGAGTACGCCATTCCCAAGTTTGTCCGCTTTACGACGCAAATTGAAACAACGTCAACTCACAAGCTGATCAAGTGGCGACTACGGGAGGAAGGCTTCAACCTGAGCGCAATCGGCGAAGATGATGTTCTGTTTTACTTTGACAAGAGCACTAGTCAGTACAGATTACTGAATGAAGAGAGTTGGAGGAAAATCCAACAAGGGCTGATTAGATTTTAAAAGGACTAGAGCAAACACATTTTGAGGTGTATCTAAACAAACTTCTTTTGTTTACATTACAATGAAAGAGAGATCACAGAGAAAGCAGCTATTTTTTCTATTTTGTATTTATCACGCTGTACGGTCGGCAAAGTAGCGAATATTATCTGCTACGTTTCTTCGCTGATTGCTTTTACCTGAAGGTAAAATGTTGTATAAAATAAAATAGGTGTGCGTTTTGAATTTTTTACAATTAACATACCTCACAGCATAGAGTCAATTTGTCGTCGACGAGAATTTTGTTATCCTTATTCACTACATCATCAAACGACAGGTAGGTGTACCAGCCTTTGCACTCGTTGTTGTCAAATTTCACTGTCCATTCTTTAAAAAAATGGTTGGAATAAAATGTCTTTTTATAAGGTCTGAACTTACCTTTGCTAAAGCATTTTTCATAGTGCTTATCAACTGTTGACAGTTTCNGTTATCCTTATTCACTACATCATCAAACGACAGGTAGGTGTACCAGCCTTTGCACTCGTTGTTGTCAAATTTCACTGTCCATTCTTTAAAAAAATGGTTGGAATAAAATGTCTTTTTATAAGGTCTGAACTTACCTTTGCTAAAGCATTTTTCATAGTGCTTATCAACTGTTGACAGTTTCAACTGAAATGTTTTGTGATTTTTCACCAACAAGGGCGGGCAAACGATGTAGAAATAGACGACAAGATATTTGTCGCCATTTTCAGGGTGTTTCAGCGTGAACAACTCAAAGTGATATTTGGGGTCCCAGTCAAACCTGAACTTGAAAAAGTTATCAAACTCAATGACCTCTTCTTGTCGCGTGGTGGTCTTGAATTTGGATGGGAACTTTTTAATTTTAAACTTTCTTGCAAAAATTTTTGTTGCGCTAGACATTTTGATTGACGAGTTTTTTAATTGATAAAATCAAGCAAATGACTAAACAACAAAAGTAAACCAGGCTATTTATAAAGTGGGTTAAACTAAAACTCCCATACATGTGTTTTCTGCCACCTAAAAACGGCTACATACAAACAACTCTGCTCCGGCACAAACATGATAAGCAGCCAATTGTCCATTGAAAAGACTCCTTTCTGACTCAAACTCAATTGCAAATCAAAATTGCAACAACAATGAGTGATTGAATTAAACTTATCATGAGTCACTACAACCAGATAACATGCCGTTTTTTGTTCATTCAATCAACACTTCCGTATCGTTGGCGACCAAAATCTGCAATAAAAAACAAAGATTCCCTTTGTTGAAAAAATAATTCAATTTTTGGCTTTTTTCACAATAAGATGCACTTTCTTACCTTGCGTTAAGATCAAGGAAAAGTCAGCAGAGTACTAGGAAAAGGTAATTTTACTAGGTAAATATCACACATTTTAGCTCGCGACGAACGCGAAATCCCCTTTCCTGTTGAATGGCAACAGAACACTACCATTTATTAATTTCCAACATCTTCTTCTTTTAGTATTTTTTCTTAATTTGATTGCATTTAGTGGGTATCCCAGCCCAGACATGCAAGTACTCCAGTAACAACAAAAGTATTGAAATGCCATCAATTCCTGCAGCAGTTAAAGTCGATGGCGTCGAGTTTACCTACAGCACAAGTTACTTAGAATGGATGTTAAACCCGTTCAAAAAGAAGAATGAGCCCATTTTAAAGGGAATCTCCTTATCTGTTCCAAAAGGAAAAATTTACGCTCTTTTGGGAGCAAGTGGTTGTGGTAATCATTTTTGTGCATAACTTTTTACAACTCTAATTGCATTTATTTTTAGGCAAAACAACTCTTCTTCAATGCATTCTCGGCCAACTGCCGGTAAAGGTGGGGCAAGTGACCATTTTTGGCCGTCCTTTTGGGCTGCAGAAATCCAATCTAGTAGGGTACATGCCTCAAGAGCTGGCACTTTTTCCTGAACTCACAGTATTCGAAACGTTAAAGTACTTCTCTCAAATATGCAAAATGCCAAAAGAAAATGTTGGGTGGCAAATCAGAGACATGATCAAGTTTCTCAAGTTGCCTGAAAACGAAAACCTAGTTAAGCAGTTGTCAGGTAAAAAATTTTTCAAATAAAAAACCAATTTTAGCAATGTGTTAATCTAAAACAGGTGGCCAACAGCGCCGAGTTTCACTAGCCTGTGCTCTCATTCATCATCCTCCGCTGTTGATTCTTGACGAGGTAAATACTTTTACTTTTACCTTTATTATTTTCATATAATTCTTCTTTAAATTAAGCCCACTGTCGGCGTCGACCCCCTCCTTCGAGTAACCATTTGGAATCACCTGGAAGAGCTGTGTGCCCTAAAGGGCGTGACCGTCATCATGACCACCCACTACATTGAAGAGGCACGAGCGGCGGAAACGGTTGGTTTCATGAGAAACGGCCAGCTGCTCGTACAGTCGAATCCCGGTTCACTGCTTCAGCAGTACTGCTCGCCAACTCTGGAGGACGTCTTCCTGAAACTGGCTCAAACGCAAGATCAAGGCATTCAAAGGCAGAAAAGTGGTGATGAACCACCACCACCACCAAAGTCACTTGAAAAAGTGCATAGTTTTGAGCTTAGAAAAGGCAGTAAACAGAAGTATCATCCAACTGACGTCATTGTGCCATCTCACAACTCAATAAGTCAAGGCTTTTCACTCTTTGATATGGACCGCTTCAAAGCCCTCCTCTCAAAGAACGTCCTCACCATGCAGCGGAATCAGTCTGTCACCCTGTTCAGCTTCCTCCTGCCGAGCATACAGTTCATTCTGTTCATGCTGGTGGCCACCAAATCTCCGCAAAACATTCCCATCTCCATCGTCAACCAGGAGTCGCCGGCCAAGTTGACGGACATGTTTGTGGAAAACCTTAACTTGGATTCGCTGATTCTGCGTCCTGAAAAGTCGGTGGAGGCGGCAATTAGGGAGGTGAGCAATGGAAAGTCATGGGCAGCGGTGCACCTTGATGGCAACTACTCCTGGGCGATTAATCGTCGACGAAAGGATGTACGGTAGTATAGTAAAAAGTCAAATCATATCTTAAACCTATCTTTGTTTACATTCACACAGCTACTGACCATCAGCAATCGCACCCTGTCCGCCTCTTCCATCCGCCTCCACATTGACCTCTCCGACCCGGTGGTCGGCTCCTTCGTCCTCTTCCAGGTCTTCCAGGCCTTCCAGACCACCATGAACCGGTACCTGCCCACGGTGGGCGACAATGGCCGCACCTTCTCTCCGCCGGTCACCGTCGCCGAGGTCGTCTACGGGAGCATGGACCGCGACAGCATGTCCATGGCGGAGTACTTCATTCCCATCATCATCCTCTTTCTCGCCTTCTTCTCCACCGCCGTCATCTCGGCGCTGTCCTCCATTCTCGAGCAGAAGAATGGCCTTCTAAAGCGGTCGCTAGTGAGCGGCGTTCGCCCCTTTGAATCGCTGTCTGCTCAAATTGTTACACAAGCCCTCCTCCTTCTCATCCAGGTGGCCATCCTCTTCGCGACGACCTTCTTCTACTTTGAGGTGCCCTCGCGTGGATCGCTTCACCTCCTCCTCGGACTGATGCTTCTCCAGGGCTTCTGCGGGACGATGTACGGCTTCGCCGTCGCCTCGCTCTTCCCCGACGAGGTGACGGCGGCCATCGTGGTGATGGGCTCCTTTATGCCTTCCTTCTGGCTGAACGGGCTAATGTGGCCGCTCAATCTGATCAACAGGCGACTGTACACGGCGACGACTTTTCTTCCGCAGACGCTCTCGGTGGAGGCCTTCAGGGTGATTCTCTCAAGGGGGTGGACGCTGGCCAACAGAGATGTGCAGCTGGGCTTCGCCTCAACCGGTCTGTGGATTGTGGGCTTCTTTCTCATTGCGGTCATCTTTTATTGCCGTTAAGTAAAAGAAAGAAAGAGAAATTGCATGCCAACATACGTACTAAGAAACGTACGTCATTTGTTATCTACAGGTACAATAAACTTTTAAGCGGAAATCATTATCAATGGTCCAGTTTGGCGGCCTTCCTCTTCTGTTCTTTTTTTCTAAAATACTCTACTAGTTCTTGCATAGCCTTAGCTTCTAGCTTTGGTGCATCGTTCAGCTTGGCAAGTTCAGACATTTGCTCGAACGACAACTGATTGCGGATGATAAAATCTTCACAGGCGGATTTTAGACAAGGCAGGTTAAACTTTGTGAATGAGCCAGAATGTTAGAATAAAGAGCGATGGATACAGTATAATGACATACCTGATGAGCAGCCTTAAGCATCTCGATCGTATCAACTTCAAGCTCAATCTTTCCAGTGTACAGGTACTTGATTAGGTGCAACATTGTTGTGGGAGCAATATTTTTTACTTCTATGCAGCCGTTGATCTTTTTGGTATTTAGCATTTCAGCAAAGGTTGCAGATTTTGAGCTGAGAAAGTTTTTATGAACTTTAATTTTAGCCTTGTCAACGATCAAAGTGACATCTGGATCACTATTGATGATGAGCTGCTCTTCAAAGTCATTGCTCATTTCGTGGCCAGTGGCTGTCGAAGAAACTTTTAAGAAAACTTCAAACGGTTTGAAAACAACAACTGTGTCTATGAGATAAGTGATCTAGAAAGTTAGATAATAATCACTTTGTTACAATTATGAAAACAAAGTGTTAAATGTTACCTTGCAATAGACTGTAAGATTTCCATTGGGAAGAAGGCCATTTAGCGGATCAAGAAGCTCGTCGTATGATATAAACTCATTAAAGCCGTGATGGTCACTGGCCACATTAGAGTGTACGTCAATGATCCAGTCAGCCTCTGCATCAGTTTAGAATCTGTTTAAAGAATATGTTATACAAAGCAACGTAAAATTACCTTTAGCAAAGCATTTCTCCTTGGCTTGATTGACTAGCGACAGGCTGAACCGGGCTACTACTTCTTTGACGAGACAGGCCGCATTGTAGATAAAGAGCGACATGTACTTTTTATCGTAGTTTCGCTTGATGATGGGGTACATCTTGAGATAGAATCCAAGGTGATCATTGCTAAAGTCGGTCGATCGGCAAAATGTGTTGATAAAGTTGTTTTCAAACTTGTCACTGGTTGAGTTGAACTGATGGTACAGCATGAAGTTGTCAATAGTCCAGGTGTGGCAAAGGGTGACCTGCTGGATTTTGGACGTTGATTGACTACTGTTGGTGGCCATTTTAGGGGACTTCGTTTAGGTATTAGAGTTTTGGGTTTTAGACTTGAAGTTCAATCAGGAAACAAGTGTAAGTTGATGGGTTGTGCAAATCATCTTTATCAGATGAACCCGTCACAAAGTACGCAACAAAAGGCGCCAATTTCAATTTTACAACCAAAGTTTTAAATATCTGACTGTCAGAGGCCATTACCAATGCCATTGACAAATTAGTTTTTTTGTTTTAATTGAACCATTAATTTAGTAAATCTAAACCTCTACTACCTACCAAAAAATAGCGAGGCAGAGTACCCGGTGGTTTTTGCTTTTGTCAACCTACTGCTGAACTCTCTACCTCTTCTACACTGTACTGCATGATGAAAATTCAATTTTACGAAAAGTAAAACAACGCAAAAGTATTGCTAATTTCCCAAACTGTCAGTGCTTCATGAAGTACCAGTGCACTTTTCTGCTGCTGCTGCTGTTTGGTGCTGTTTGGCGCTGCTAAACGTAATTTCAATTGACAGACAGTTGGCCTACTTATTCTGCCGCCGAGTGAAGTGAAGTGCCCCTCACTCGCACACTGTGCCCCTGTCCTCTCTCTCTTTGGCTCTCTGCATCGACCGGTTTGCGATGAAGTGGAATTCAGCACTGCATTCTGCGGCAGACGGTCTCGGAGAGGCAAGGAAATGAAAGGAAAGGAAAGGAAGAGAGAGAGAGAGAGAGAGTGTGTGTGTGTGTGTGTATTGAAGCGCATGCCAAGTGGTGTCCACCAGCACTACCACCACCAGCAGAGGCACACTCTTTTATGATGTCTGAGGAAAGAGAGTACCATTACCATTGCATGCACATTGACTCGCCACTTTCTCTCTCTTTCCTTTGCCTGTGCACTGACGCTGGTGTTTTCGCCGTCACCGTCACCGTCGTCGCCGTTGTTGTTGTTGCTTTTGTTATTCTTATTCTTTCCTTCTTCCATTCCTTCCTCCATCAATCGCCTAATGCGTTTCATTAATTTGATTCCCTTCTTCTTACTAAATGTCAAGATTCGGGTCGATTTTATTACCTCCTCCTCCTCCTCCTCAAGTCGGCGGTGGTGGTGCACTGCTGAGTGAGTGAGTGCACTGCGCCACAACGCCTAGTGATTGACACCTAGTGCCAAAGATGTCCGAAGCGAGCGACAGCAACTGCAGAAGCCATCTCAACTCTTCAAAAGGCCAACTCCAAATGGAAAAAGTGGAAACACCGCCACCGCCATCACCATCACCAGTTCATATCACCGCCAAAGGCAATGCCACTTCTTTCCTGTCATGTGATAGCAACAACAACAACAACAACAACCATTCGGACGACACCGGCAAGCTGATGTCTGATGACTTCGAAGCACCACCTTCACCTCCTCCTCTGTCCGCAATTCAACAGCCTTCCCTTTCCATCTGGTCAAGTCACGCCGAGCCACCGCCAGTGTGGTCTGCGCCCACCGATCTCAATCTCTTCAGTAGTCAGACTGCAGCAGCAGCAGCAGAAGCAATAACAGCCACAACAGCCCTCCTGTTGAACAGACAGCCCTCGAATCCGGATTCCTCCTACGACTCGGACGATCCGGACGCTGATCTGCTGACCAAGATTGTCAGCGACATTGTCGACTCCTCTGCGGAGTCGCCGCAAAATGAAAATCCGCAGCTTTCCTGCATCGTGCAATCAGAGTCCATCTCGGCGATTCTTCTCGGCACCTCTCAAAACCAGACAGCGGCGGCGGCGCATGAGGACGTCAATCGGACCCTCTCAGACACTCTCATACAGGAGTATCCTGAGTGGAACATTCCAAACTTTACCGAACTTAAGCTTCTTGAGTCATCTGCCACAGCAGCAACAGCAACATCTGTTGCAGATGACTTTGATAAAATCTCCCTATCAACGGACGCTGAAAAGCCATCATCGGCGCAGTCGCCAAGGCTTACTGCAGCGCCAGTAGTAGCACCAGCAGCAGCAAAACCCATCATTAATCATGAGGAGATTTATGATCCAGAGAAGGCTCGCCTGTACGAGGAGAAGCTTAAGTTTGCCAAAAAGTTGGGCTACACCGAGGACATGGTGGCAATTGCGCTGGCCAATGTTGGCTATCACGTCTCAAAGAATGACTTTCTTAACGAGCTGATCTGCATTGGCAATAGTGAGACGGCTAAGGACAGCAGGGAGATGGGTGCTGCTGATGGGGTACACCCACTGGGGGACTATTGTCAGCCGAACGAGCTTGTCATCAGACAACAACTTGACAATAACATTTCAAGCAGTATGGCCAAATCAGTGCCACCAGACCCACCAGTGTTGCCACAACTGCGACCAATCGTAATTGATGGCAGTAACGTTGCAATAAGGTTTGTTTTATTTGAATTGGTTGAAAATTTGTAATAACTCTTTTTGTTCTTTTTTAGCCACGGAAACAAGGAGTTTTCAAGTCGAGGCATTCAAATAGCCATCGACTGGTTTCGGGCTCGAGGTCACACGGAGATAACTGCGTTCGTGCCAATGTGGCGCAAGCAGCCTGGCCACCGATGTGATGTGCCCACAATTGGTTTGTCTTCTTCTATGATTGCTGAAAACTCATAATTCTAATTTCAAACATTTTTTTCCCTCACTCAAATCAGACCGTGAAGTTCTTTTTCAACTGGAGGCAGAGCGCGTGCTCACCTTTACTCCGTCAAAGAATGTCGCCGGCCGGCTGATCTCTTGTCACGACGACCGCTACATTCTCAACCTGGCCACGGCCAACCAGGGCATCGTCGTCTCGAATGACCACTTTCGCGACCTGGTGGCGGAGAACCCCGAGTACCGGAAGGTGGTCGACGAGCGGCAGCTGATGTACATCTTTGTCGGTGACAGCTTCATGCCGCCGGACGACCCGCTCGGTCGTAACGGGCCCAAGCTGGAGCAGTTTTTGCGCTTTCCCGAACCTCTTCAACAACAGTCTCCGTCTATAAGCAGCAGCCAGCCCTGCCCGTACAGTCTGAAGTGCACCTACGGCAAAAAGTGCAAGTACTTTCACCCGGGCCGCATGCAGACGACCATTGCCGACCACCTGCGCGACAAGCAGAAGCTCTCCGGCCAAAACTCGCTTCCCCTGGTGAAGAGCAAAAAGGCAGCGCTGCAGCCGCAGAATAGCCTTCCGGTGAACCTGAGCCTCCAAGCAGGAAGCAGGTCACCAGCAACATCCAGCGGCGGCACGCCCAAATCGAAGCTCTGCGCGACGCAGTCGATCTCCTTCAGTCCACTTCTCGCCTCGAATGCCGCCTTTGACGCCTCGGTGCAGCGATTTCTGCAGGCATCAGCGCCCCTGGTGGCTAAAAGTGGTTTTCACCCCAAGTTGGAGCGTCAGCTGACGCTGAATCCCTTTTCGAACATCATTCAAGTTCCCTCCTTTTCTCTCGTTAATCTTCCCGCCTCCTCCTCCCCTTCCTCCTCACCGAGCTCTCACCCTCACCACTCCCACCCTCATCATCACCACCATTCTCACCCTCACTCTCCTCACCTCTCTCCCTCAACTAGCACAACCTGTCGAACGCCTCCGTTTTCTCCTTCCTCCTCTTATGGAGTTTCTCCTTCTTCTTCTTCTTCTTCATTTCGACCCAAGCAGAAGCTGTCTCAGACGAAAAGCAACCCGGTCCCTA